GGCTGGGGTGAGTGGGGGAAGCCGAGTTGGGTCTTCCTTCCTTCCTTCCTTTTTCTTTCTTTTTTCGCTTTGTCCTTCTTTCTTCCTTCTCTCTCTCCTTCCCTCCTTTTTCTTTCTCCCCCCTTCCCTCCTTTCTTTTTCTTTCTTTCTTCCCGCCTTCCATATTTTTCCTTTTCTTTCTTCCCTTTCTTTCTCTTCTTCCCCTTTTTCTTTTTCTATCTTTCTCCCTTTCTTTTTCTTTCCTCCCCTCCATCTTTCTCCTTTCCTTCTTCCTTCCTTTCTTTCCTCTTCTTCGTTCCTTTCTTTCTCCCCTTCCTTCCTCCCTCCCTCCTTCTCTTCCTTCCTTCCCTCCGTTTCGTTCTTTCTTTCTTCCTTCCTTCGTTCTTCCTCTCTCTCTCTCTCTCCCTTCCTCCCTCCCTCTCCTTTCTCTCCTTCCTTGTTCTTATTTCTTTCTCTTCTTTCTTCCTCTCTCCTTCCTTCATTCTTTCCTCCCTCCCTCCCTCCTTTCCTTCCCCCATCTCAATAAATTCTAATATTAAGAGTTGCCCCTCGTTAAATTGATCTTAACATAAATTATACACAGACACACACACACACACACACAACTCAGTTTGTGTCCTGTTGGGTCATTCTTTCAATTTATCCTGACCAGATTCCTCAGGACGTGATGGATGGTGACATTTATGTCTGGCGTTCATTGCCCCCATCAGCTTGAAGTCTGCTAGGCTGCATAAAATCAAATTTTTAGGTCAGTTTACGGGTCTTTGGATGCAAATCCAGCATACAGGTCATCCTCCAGTTACAGCCAATCATTTAGCAACCGTTCAGTTATAATGGCACTGAAAATAGTGACTTCATCATACACACACACACACACACACACACGTACTTACAACCATCACAGCATCCTCACAGCCATGTGACCCAAATTTAGGCAACCGGCACAGATTTAGAATAGAATAGAATAGAACAGAATAATAAAAAATAGAATAATAAAAAATAGAATAGAATAGAACAGTATAATAAAATATAGAATAGAATAATAAGAATAGAATAGAATAATAAGAATAGAATAGAATAATAAGAATAGAATAGAACAGTATAATAAAATATAGAATAGAATAATAAGAATAGAATAGAATAATAAGAATAGAATAGAATAGAACAGTATAATAAAATATAGAATAGAATAATAAGAATAGAATAGAATAATAAGAATAGAATAGAACAGTATAATAAAATATAGAATAGAATAATAAGAATAGAATAGAATAATAAGAATAGAATAGAATAGAACAGTATAATAAAATATAGAATAGAATAGAATAATAAGAATAGAATAGAATAATAAAAATAGAATAGAACAGTATAATAAAATATAGAATAGAATAGAATAGAATAGAATAGAATAGAATAGAATAGAAAATATGGAATGGAATAATGCTTTTTTATCTCTTTTCGTACCGAATCAAATTTGTTGTGTGAATGCAACCCATTAGAGCTTAATTTCTTCAAAACCTATAATTGCATGTGAACTAGTGGGATCCATTCAGACAAAGAGAAAAACAGCCTGTGGAAGCTGAGGTGTTTCTGTACACAATTGCTCTTCATTGGGAGGGTCGTCTGAAAGGCAAGGTTTGCAATTTATGAACGAAAAACCAGAAGTGATTTGGAATTTAATGTTAATATTTCGGGTTGAAGACGAGTCCCACGCCCTGGATGGGGATGGTGAGTTGGGGGTGGCGGGACCTTGGCTGTATTCACACAACCACATATATCCTCAGATGGTTTGGGATTCCAGATCCCAGAATGAGCAGCCAATACAGATGAGGGCATCAAGGGGGAAACATCAAGATCCTCTGAGTTTAGTTGAATGCACCCGTAGGGGAGCTACACCCCACAGAACACGTGTGCGCGCAGAAAGGAGGAAAACACGCCTCAGAACGCGCGTTGAAACAAAGGCACTACTTCTCTCCCGCAAGCCCCGCCCCTCCCGCGCAGACCCCCTTCAGCGGAAGGACACCGCGGTGAAGCGTCCAAAGCCCCCCTGATTACGTCACAATCCCGCCTCAGCGGCGCTCGGAAAGGAAGGGAAAGAAAAAGAAAAAAAAAAGACGCGCGGAGGCGTCTCTCGTCGCCCGGGGAAACCACCGACGCCCGTGGACCGCCAAAGCGCACGCGCGAAAGGGAAAGCCGAACCGGGACTTTTAAAATCCGCGGCGTTGAGGGGGGGGGTGCGTCCGACTTGGCAACAACGCTCAGAGGACGGGGAGAGAGCGCGGATTGGCGCGAGGCGCAGCCAATCGGAGCGGAGGGATAGTCTGAAGCCCGGCGCGGATTGGCTAGGCCGGTGGGGGGGGACGCCGCGAGCCGGGCGGAGAGGCGGGCCGTAGGCGAGGCTGACAGTTGGGCAGGATGTCGGCGAGGAGGCGCATCGGCGACCCGGAGGTGAGGGGGGTCGCCGGGGGGGCTCTTGAGGGGGGTCGCGGCTTCCCAGAGGGCGGGGGAGGAGGCCCCTGACCCCGAACTTAAGGGGGGGGAGGTCTGAGGGGGACCCCCAAACCGGGAGGACCCTGAGGAGGCCTCGGGGCCCTGACGGACCGCAGGGAAGCCCCCTCCCTCAGGCCTCGTCGCTGGGGGGGGGGGGGG